TTTCTTTCTTTCTTTCTTTCTTTCTTTCTTTCTTTCAATCTTTCTTTCTTTCTTTCTTTCTCTCTTTCTTTTCATCCATTTATTCATCTTTTGTTTCTCTTTTCCTTCCTCTCTTTGTTTTTCCTCTTTCATTTCTCTCTTTCCTTTTTCTTTTCTAACCTATCCCTTTCCTTCTTGTCCATAAGTCTTTCGGTATTCTTGAAAATACCCGGTTTCAGCACAAGTATAATATCTTTCCTCACAGCAGCAAAACAGGTGACCAGCACATTCTAAAAAAAACCCGGATTATTCGATTATGGTGAGCCTTTCTTTCGCTTTCTGGGCTTTCTAGCTAATCAAGCTAGATATTAAAGTTCTTGAAGTCTCGACAACTATTTTGGTACGTTTCTCGAAAATTCCCAGCTTCAGCAACTGCTCAGCTTAACCAGTCTTCTAGCGTTATATAGAAGTGTAATTGTGACGTCAAAGTGGGAGGAGAAAAATAAGGACTTTCGACTTCGATACTACTCTTGTTTACTGTGGGCTGCTCGTAGAGTTGACGTAGTTAAATTTCTCTCGTCATGGTTTTTCTCGGAATGCGAGGAAATCCTTCCATTTCGATGAAAGACGAAAAACTCGGATTTTCTCTACCTAATTAGCTTAAAACATTGCTGGTATTTTATCCCTGCACTACTATGTATTCCAGTGACTATGATATACAAAAGTCTTTGTGCTCCATCTACGAGGAACCGACTTATCGGCCTAAGAAAGCTCGTAGCGTGACATTGGGACGTTCATTCAGCATTACTGGCATTTTTCGGTGAGTTTATATTATCGTTTTTTTCAAGATAGAACGCAGAAAATTGGACATTTTAATCTTGTCAAGGGTTTAAAGTTGGAAAGGTTCAATTATGTTAAGCAGGAAACGTCGCAAGGAAAAGGTTTTTCGAATACACGATCATACTCAAATTACTTATCTATTTGATTAATTCAACTCAATATTTCATTTGAATGACTTTTATTTTAATATATCATGGTAAGTTTTTTTTTGACGGCAGAATAATATTGAAGTTAACTCGTGTCACATCGCTCAACTTTTGTGATCATCTTATTCTTATGCCTCCTAAATCATAATCTCTCGTCTTTCTTCTTCTTCGAAATTTTTTTCCCTTTCTTTTTTTAAGAATTCAAAATTTTTTGAAATTAGTTTTTTGTTATTTGAATTTTGAAGAATTTATAGATCGGAAGCTGCAGCAAACCAATTTAGTTGATTTTTTATCAGTAAAATCCATCTTGGAAAATTCTTTTTCTCTTTTTCTTCGATTTGCCAGTCTTGGAAGTTCGTCACTGTCCGAGTTGTTACGAATAAACCACAAATGAAAACCGAATCTATTTGTCGAATAACAACACCGAGTAGACGATCCTTAATCGATAAAAAACCGTAATTATCTTCGATTCTTTTTGAATTTTTCAGCTTACATTTTTTTCCAGCGAACTTAAAAGCCTTAGCCGTAATCTTCAGCAGTTGTGCGAGCATTCACTAAGTGTTTATTAATATTTAAGGCTAATTTTCGCGCCGAAATCAATACAAATGACAATCAGAATATGCTGGCTTCTCGTCATCACTTTTATACTAAAACTAATGTAGTGTTCAAATTTTTATTTTTAAATTATATCTCAGTTTTCCAACCACTAACAACAAATATGGGCTAACAAGTTCCAAAACAAACGGAAATCCTTGCATTCGTGGCTATGATAAAACGCATGTTTGGAGCTCGTACGTGAGGGACCTAAATGTCGAGTGGTATTGAACAACTTGAATTATTTGAACAGCGAATAACACATAGCAAATGTCACTTCCTCTTTGTTGTTGTTCTATATATCATCTTTTTGTTCAAGTCATTGAAGCGTTTAAGCAAGATATAATGTATTTAGGTTTTCAATTCATAATTTTATAATTTCTTAACCAAAACAAGGCTTTTCAGTATATAGTGGACTTTTGAAGGGGTACCTAAGTACTATTGTTTGTTTGTTTGTTTACTCTATTTATATTTCTTTGTTTGTGTTTTTTGTTTGTTGTGTTCTTTCTTTCTTTCTTTCTTTCTTTCTTTCTTTCTCCCATTTATTTTTCTTCCTTTACGCATGCCTGCGTCTTTTAATAAAACCTCCTTCACGTCAAACTGACCTCATGAAAAAGTACGTTCTTTACTGGTAAAAAATTATTTTGCTATTATCAAATTATCTGATAGCTGTAAAAAGTACACAAAAAATACCCATTCATTTAATTAATCTTATTTAAGCGAGAAAGCTCGTGGCAAAACTATTCTCATGGTATGATAACTCAGTGTAATTATCAAGAGGGAGATTTTTTGAATGTTTGCTCCTGGTTTCCTCTGATTGGTCTAGATTTATCACGTGACTTCAGATACCTCTCAAAGTTGCTAAATACAATACGCGAAAGCTCAGTTATTCCAGCCTATTTAGGCGCCCAATACATTGTTAGAAAATTTTCAATAATTTTCTATTATAAAACGAAATACTTTCCACTAACAATTACAAAATATGTTATTTCTAAATGATATTTGATAAATCTTTCGACAGATGAGTTCGATTTTCTTTATTTTCAAGTAAAAGCTGTCATCTATTGAGCCAAGAAAACCCGAAACTATATTGAGCTACAAGCAAAATAATTCGAATCAAAATTCAAAAGAAATGCAACATCGCCTGGTTGTTTCAAAGTTTGTGATTTTATGAATTCATGTTTCTCCAATTATTCTTCCGTATATTCGTGGTATTTTTCCTGTATGTATCTCATGTATAAGCTGCATTATGAGCCTTAAAGTGGCTATATTAATTGCCACTTCACTAACAAGAAAAATGGTCTCCCACTTCGACGTCGGTTCGTCTGTACCTCTCTTAATAGGATTTCTTACTGCCTTCTAAAACCAATTCCTCAGAAATTTAAAAAGCACAAGAGATAGGAAGAGGATACCAACAAAACCAATTATAGGACAACGATAAGGAATTGATGCCTCAGGGAGTAAATGGCTTGTGCAAAATTGAAAAGAAACCAAAACACTTCGCCATGGAAATAAATGACACGACGTCACACATTGATCGATGACGTCATTAGAGTCTAAAATTAATGCTGAAAATGTAAACTTGGACGTTAATTAACTTCGTTTTTAATTAGCCAAGGTATCATAAAATGAATGCCTTTTTGATTTGTGATTTGACTTGTGTTGCCAACGTTTGCTAAACTAGTTATTGTTCAATCAGTATACGTTTTCGAAGATCGTGATATGCAACATAAATAGAGAAGATGTCGGTAGAATTCGTGATCCGGAACTGTAGCTCTTCCGTACAGCGATTTTCAAATGATTTGGAAACCATACCGGGGGAATTCGTAGCGTACTGTACCGTAGCTGTAACCACGCGTTGTGATTGGATGAATTACTGAAGGAGAATGGGAAGCCATTTCAATGTTACGGCATGTCGTACCGTGTACGTGCTGTAAGTCGGTATCGTACTTTTCTACTCATACGATAACCATTCTTATGGGAAGACATTTCAATGTTACGGCATGTCGTACCGTGTATATACTGTATATAAGTCGGTATCGTACTTTTCTACTCATACGAACCATTCTATAGGGAACCATTCTATAGGAAGCCATTTCAATATTACGGCATGTCGTACCGTGTATATACTGTAAGTCAGTATCGTTTGTTTTCCACTCATATACGAACCATTCTATAGGAAGCCATTTCAATGTTACCGCATGTCGTAGCGTGTACGTGTACATAGAAGTTATGCAGATTTAACATCAAAAATCAATAAATCAAAAAAGTATAATAATTAAATTTTTTTTAACCCATTTCTATTATGGAAGAAATTTGATTGACCATTCCTAATACCTTGCCTTTCCCTTCCCCAAAATGTGTGTAGTACGGCGCCTTTCTAGTTGAACACGAGGAATGCAGTACACTTAGCTAAGGCCAAGTTCAGCTGGGGATAAATTACGAACGTTTGTGAAAAACCCACACAGTCCGGATGGACTCTATTAATGTGAAATTCAATTTTCGATACGCCGGCGAAAGACCATACCAAACAAAGGACAGTCTGCAGCAGATGACACGCAAACCAGCTCTTAGAAGATTTTTTAAAACGTAGCTTCAATGAATGAGTTTACATTTTGTAATGTCTGTTAGTCGTCTGAATCGATATTCGTCTAAAAAAATAAGTTCAAGGTTAGTAAAGGATATATTTTTTCAAAGAAATTGGAATCATGGACTATAAATATAGTTAGATTTACGTTTGGTTGTCAGTCTTTCGTTGTAGCTCTCTTTTTCTCCCTTACTTTTCGACTTCCCTATTTTTTATTTATATTTATATTTTATTTATTTAAACGCAGTGGCATTTGTCTCCTACGGAAAAAACTTCTTCGTGCACTTAAATCTTATCGTATTGTATATTTTTTGTTCTTATTTCTTTGTCTAGAAGTGAAAGCTTTTAGTTATTATTCATTAATATCATGAACCAAAGAAAAGCCAAATGAAAGCGAACGTTCTTTTGACCGCGAAAAGGTTTTCTGAAACAATGTGTCACTTCATTGGTTTGTTTTTATGTAAACTGTTTCAAAATGTTTCGAGGAAGAACGAAACTTGGCTTTTGTTTTCATCTCCGGTATTTTAACATAATAAAGTTTGCATTCAAATTTCGGTCTTTTTTATGTTAAGCAGATTTTCGTAAATGTCTGAATTAAAGCACTTTAACGTAGCTTAGCATTGAAATGGTTTTTCCCGCCCGCGCGTGTTGAGGCATTATGGTTGAACGCTCTAAAAGATCTATAAATATTGCATTTTAAAACTGGTTATTCCGGTTTTTCCGTAAGCAAATGATTTAGGAACGAAAATGCATTATCCAGCGTAGGAACTGTTCTTCCTGAGCGAGCAAATGAGTGGGAAGTCGAAATATTCTCGAATATTTGAAGTATAAATTTTTCTATTGCGCTCAATTTTATAATTTTTTTTAGTTTTCTCCGGGTTTTCCCAAGCTTGCCCTATGGCTGTAGGGGTTAATATATCTGTGACCACTCATTATTAACTTGACCAGCCCCTATAGTACTAACCCTTAAAGTACTAGCCCCTAAAGTACTAGCCCCTAAAGTACTAGCCCCTAAAGTACTAGCCCCTAAAGTACTAGCCCCTAAAGTACTAGCCCCTAAAG